AAAAAAAAAAAAAAAAAGAAAAAGTTTAAAAAGGTCACTTGTTTCATTCATATTAAAACATTTAAAAAAACGACTTTACAGATAACACAGAAGGGGATTGGGAATTCAACGAAGCGATAGGGTTCCCGTCAATTCACCACAAGCCATCGTTTTTATAACGGGCTTCAGAACTGGTGGGCTGATGTGTTCACATTAGAAATGCAGTCCTCCATTAGCCTTTAGTCAGTGCAGAAAAATTTTAAAAGCAGCTTTAGAAATTTTGTAATTTTCTGGAACCGAAAGTATACATTTACATAACGCTTTTACCAGTGTAAAGTGAAGACAGCCTTAAAATTTACCTCACTAGCAACTTTAACAGAACTTCGAACACTCTTTGTGGTGTGACCTTTAGGTGGTCCCTTCAGAAGATTCTAAAAAAAACAAGCAGCGTAAAGCAAATTAAGTTCTTTCTTTTTTTTTTCTTTTTTTTTTTTTTAGAATTTTTTAAAAGCTAAAAGAAAGCTGTTTTGAAACATTTATCAAATTTCTGTTTGTTGCAAATACTTTCTAAAACAGACTTCAGAGTTGTTACAGACAATTGAAAAACAGTGTTCAAAAGAAAGTTTGCAATGCCGCTAGAACCCGACCTAATGCAGTTTTTAAAAAGCAAAATTAAATTGTTTTTCAGAAAAGACGAAAAAGTAAAGTGAATAAAACATTAAATTCATGTAAACTGAAAGAAAAAAACGTTAATGGTCATTCAGCAAATTCAAATTCAGCAAAGAATTTTGCAAAAATACCAATAATACTTTTAGAAGCAACTGCGTAAGGTGCAGCACATAATGAGACAAAGAAAAAGGTATAAAGACTTGAATATCCCATCTAAACTCCTAAACTTGTTTATCAGTTTCGTTACGCAATTTTTGCCGTCTTCAGCACGCTTAGCAGCGTTCTGCCGTTCAGCAGCCTACCGTCCGCTCATTCTGCTTGCTACACATATCTCGTCAATTTTTTTTTTGAGATGCTTTGTGTGTTTAAGATGATAACATAAAACCTTAAAAATGTTGTGAAAAAACACCTAACACGAACCTTTGGTTGGTTGAGCTCATGCTCCGCCTGATTTCTTTTGCTTAACGTTTCCTTCTCGCATTTTGTAAGTGTGCTCTGCACCTTACAAAAATTCTTCAGATTCTATAAAATGTTGATCAGTATAACACTTTCTCGCTTGTCTGATAAAAAGAATGTAGCTAGTTAGTATGCTTATTTGGACTATTTAATAAAAACAGTGTGCTTTATTAAAAGATAATGAAAAAAAAAAAACAAAAAAAAAACCTTCATGTAGTTTTCTTTAAAATATTGGTTTTCGTTCTGCAATTTGGCAACAGAATCCTCCATATATTTCAAAGCACTCTGCAATTTAGCAGTCTGCTGTGCACCCAAAATTTCTGCTACATAATTTTCCTTCTGAAAAAAGTGCCTCAAAAGTTTTACTTAAAACTATAAAGTTGCAAATTAGAAGTACTGTCACAAAAACTCTTTTAATCCTGTAAAGTGTTGACCAGTGCAACAGTTTTAGAGCATTCTACAATTGATTAATTTGGTCACGAATAACTAACCTTCAGCTTTACAATTTCACTATTCAGTTCATTTTCTCTCTTTAAAGATTTCTCTGTAAAACTCATATGCTCATTTATACTGTTCGAAACCTGCAATGCAGCGTTCAACCAGACAATTCCTCGCTAGAGAGAAGAAGCATAATAAAAACTTTAAAATTTTTCTCTTTGGCAGGCATCGTACAGTTAAGGCATGAAATACAAAAGATAGGAAGGTAAAGGTAAAGAGAGCAAGACCTCATTGTACTTTTCGCTTAATTCCTTATGCTTTCTCTGCAACTTGACAAGATCATTTTCAGCGTTCTCAGCACGTCTATTTGCCTTTTGCAAGTCCTCCTCAAGAGCAGTTTGCTCATCAATCGAAACCTTATTTTCCTCCTGAAATCACTGTTGATAAAATGTTGAAAAAATGGTCATTGCAAAGAATTATAATCACCAATAAAACACACTAAAACACAAGATTATGTGGAAAATTGACCTTTAGTTCAGCCAGTTCATGAGTCAGCTGAACGTGTTCCTTCAACGCTTCATGCTTGTAATCAGCATATTCCCTTCTCAAATCTTCTAACTCCTGCAACTTGCGACTGAAGTTAAATTTTCTAAACATCTATCGCAATAAAAAAAACTGTATTACCATGCATAGTCCTTAAGGGTTTTACAAAACAGTATGATCGAAAATGCCACGTATAGGAAAGAAAGTGAAAATAAGAAAACCTTTCTGCACTTCACGTCTACCTGCTTAAGCTCCTCCCGGACTTTGACAAATTTTGTATCTTTTTCTTCGGCGTTTTTCACTAATTCGGCAACACGAATTTCATTTCGCTGCTTTACTTCACGAAGGCCATTAATTTCCTTCTGAAAGTATCTTTTTTATAACTCATTGGTGAAAGATCTCACCGCAAAGCAAGAGATCTCGTTTCACAACAGCGCGGAGGTTGCATAAACGTGGAAATTGGTAACCGTGAGCTCATCTAATTTTTTTGACATCTCCTGTTTGTATGTGGCGTATTCGCTTTTTTTAGTTTCCAGATTCTTTAGTACTTAAAATCTAATGCATTAAACAACAATTTTTCCGTCATTTTTAAGAGGAAGAAGATGGGACATTATATTTTTTGCCTCTCCATTCTCATTTGTGAAATGGAAAAAATACTAAAAATGAGTGGACAAAATGAGTTTAAAAAAAAAAACATTTTCCCTCTCCTCAACCAGTTTCTTATGGTCCTCCTAAAACTTGAGAAAATTAACTTCAATTTTTAAGCATTCTTCAGAGCATTCTTTAGTTGAACAATGTGTCTTTCATCTTGTATGTTTTTTATATAAAGAAGTTTTAATTGTAATCCATCAGTTTCCCTCTAAAAAAGTTTTTTGTCGCTTATGAAGAGGATAAGACGAAGTGGCGAAATCTGGCACAGCAGCAATCAAGTTAATTTG